ATAATCTGGACTTTTCCCCCCAATTTATGGCTTTTTACTACAAAATTATGTGTTTAGGCACAAAATTCAATGCCATTACCAAAATCAACCTCATTTAATTCCTTAAAACAGTACGGCTAGCATCGTAACGGAATCTTTTTTTTTATTGCCTCGCAAACTTCCCGCCAAAATGCTGTCATATTATTGGTCCGATCAGAATGCAACTACCGGTCCACCGTCCACATCACAATCAAATGCAAAGTTTCTTTTGGTTTATTTACAAACTTGCCACTCGGACTTTTGAGTTATTCACCTTGAGTTTTTTAGCCAAAATAGTACTGAGATTTGCATAACTCCACATTTTGGTCCTAAGATTTGAACTCAATAGAGGTGATTCTGAGTTTGTCTATCATCAATTATTTTGGTCATTTCTTGAAAAATCTCCATTAAATAAGGATAAAATGACAAAAATACCATGTTTTTGTCAAATCATTTTGGGCTCATTGTTTATTAAATTGAGGGTATTTTTGTCATTTGGTTATTATTTAACATAATTTTTCAATGAAGGACCAAAATGATTGATGGTGAACAAACTCATGAACCACTTCTATTGATTTCAAATCTTATGACCAAAGTGATGAGTTATACAAATCTCAATGACTATTTTGACTAAAAAGCCTAACCATTAAGCAAGATATATCATCGATTTTTAATTGCAGATATAACTAGTCTCGTGACCTCGTGATATTCTTATGTGATAGTTCTTCTTTTTTGGGGCTTATGCCTCGTTGTAAACTCAAAAAAAAAAAAAACAAACAAACAAACAAACAAGTAATAGACGTTCCCCAACAACCGAATAAAAACTTTGGAAATTTAAAACAAAATAGAATAAGATGTTAAGTATGAAACAACGAAAGCAAAACTCTTGAAATTTTAACAAAACATGAATGAGATGTGGAGAAAGTTTAGGATAAAGTGTGAGAGTTGTGATTTCTCCCTACGTTTTCTTTCCGACCAAACAAAGTTCACAGAAGATTATGATTAACATGTTTTCTACCACAACGGTTAAACTAAAATAAGGTAGTGTTATGCACATAATTCTCTTAATTTTTTTACCGTTAGATCAAATAAATTGAAGAATATCAATAATAAATAATTAATAAAAATGTGTGAAAACTAAAATAAGTATCTCACCATGGAGATTACGGAGAAAACTTTGGCATAAATTTTACATTGGCAATGGAAGTTTACTTGCTCCCCAAGACCCTTAGGGTGTGTTTGTTTGCCTTCTCTAAATCTCATTGGACTAGACTGTACTAGCTATTAGTCCAATACAGTGTTTGTTACACGCAAGAATAGATTTAATGAGATTAAAGCCGACTCATCCCGACTAGGTCCTTTGTTAGAAGGTGTTAGTGAGACCCCCCAATAAGCACGAGATTGCTAAGACTGTTCGCGTCCTCGTCCAGTTGTTCTCCTTGCTTCTTTGTTCTAGTCTGGTCAACTGACCTCCCCAGACCACCCTACTGACAGCGATGGTGACGATCGTCGACGAGATGTACTTGTTTTCAGCTTCACACTTCTTCGACTTCATAAGGACGAGAGCGAAGCCGAGTCTGCCATAGAAAGCTTTTCATTGCCCGCGATATGGCCATTCACGTCAATTAGAGAAGGGGATACGGGTGAGTCATCGGAGAAGAGAGGTTGGATGAGGAGACGATGGTGGGCTCGCGGTTAGAGGTTTGGTTCGGAGATGGAGGATCTCAATTACGCAGATGTCTGATAGACTGATTCGCTTCTTTCCATTTCCCCCCCCCCCTATTTTCCCCTTTTATTTTTATTTTTTTATCTTTTTGATTTAGGGGAAATTTATTGGCAGTGTGGATTTATTGTTTGGTTTGATTTGAATTGGGCATGTAAATCTTTGGTTTTTCATAGAGAGAACGCACTTTTGGAGTGGATTATGAGTTAATTTGCAATTTCTCCTCCTGCATATTTTTCAATTTAGGATTTGATTGTGGGTTAGTATATGATGTTGTTGTAAATTTTGTTGTTATGATTGTATATGGTCCATTTTTTACTGTTTTCATTATCCCGTTTCTTAGTTCGACATACCGCCAAACGCTTCGCTAAGTTAGTTCAGTTTACTCTATTCTAAGTCAGTCCAGCTTAATCCTAGAAGTTAATCCAATTTGAGATAATTCGATGTAATAAACGCATCCTTAAACTAGTATTTTGTTCAAACTTTCAATGGGAATCTACTTAAAACACCAAAAGCCAATGACACAAATTCCACAGCGTCCTTTTTTGATTGATTTCTAACTTTGTTTTGTTTCAGTGTGCTTTCTCTGCTTTGTTAATTCTTTCCCTAGGAGGGAGTGAAAGAAATTACCGTACAAGTGGCCAACGTGTGCCTGTTCTCTCCCAATCATGACTCTGCTCGCTCACCCTCTCTAACAATTTTACCACAAAACTGAAACACTATCGGATAATGTTGCTATTCTATTCAAACATAACTTATATTTGTGTTTAGGAAAAATTAGTATCCGGTCCCTAGTTTTTACTGTTCATTGACTAAGACCTTATTAGTTCTCAAATTTTGATTCAAGTCTCTAACATTAATGTGATAATGAATTCACATGTTTATTATATAATTTTTAATATAAAAATTAGTAATTAATTTAGGGTTTAATACTCACACCTCTATTAAACTTCTAATTAATTTTCAATTCAAACATTTCCAAAATAATAAAAAATTAAATTAAATTAAGTTTGTACCTATTAGTTTTTTTTTATATTATAAAGATTCTCAAATTTTTAATCTTAAATGTACCCATTCATATAATTTTTCAATTTTTTTAATCTTAAATGTACCCATTCTCAAATATATCAATTTGTTATATGTAAAATGTACCCTTTTTTAATATAAAATCCATTCAAATTTTTTAATCCATGTTTAAACTTATATGGGTACATTCTTTTTTGTTAATTTTGGTTAATGTACCCATACATATATGTACACACACACAATATAATAGAGAGTATAATTTATATTTTATTATTTTTAATCCCATAAATTATGGGTTTTATTTAAAATCTCATTAATATAAACAATTACAAATTTCAATTTTTAATTTTTAATTTAAAAAATATAGTAACTTACATTATTACATTAATGTCAGGGACCTCAATCAAAAATTAAAAACTAACAAAGTTTCAATCAAAGAATATTGATAGGTAGGGACCGCATCCAAAGTGTCCCTTGTGTTTATAATCAGAATCAAAACCGAAACTATGCCAAACAAGTGAAGTATATCGACTTTTCTTATATTTATTGTCATAATAGATCAACTTTGTTAACTATATATATTATAATATGTGAAATAATAAAAATATGAGACGGTGTTCTTGTAACACAAAATTTCTCCTCATTTTTTTTGTATAAATGATAGCATTAGGAGATTAAATTGTTAATTGTTAAAAGAGAGGGGAATTTGTGAGGATTAAACCGTGCTACGATACATAAACATCGTCACTTTCTAGCACTACAGTAAAAGCAGTCTGCAATTTGTCCTCGAATAATGTTATCACAAACATATTTTTGTTAATTTTTTACTTTCTTTAATTTCTTTGATTTAACTATTGAAAAAAAAAAACGTGAAAAGTGAAAATAAGTGTACATAACACTACTATTTCTCCCATCTCTCACATTTCCAAAATTCCTCAGCTCTAACAGCTTTCAATGGGTTTGTTGACGTCCTCCCGCTTTGCTCTGCCATGAATATTCTGTTGACACACAAGTTCAACAAAATTCATAGAAATCACGGGTCCAAATCACGCGTGATATCACCGCTTGCGTAAATCGCGGTTTACGAGGAAGCAGGTGACAGTCCGGAGAGCAATCAGGCACTGACACCCAGCGGCTTCGGTTCCCTCTCTCCCAATCACCTCTTCCGTCTCACGGGTTTTTGGTTTATACGGCTCTCGTGTATTTCCTATGGGCTCCGTCGGTTAACATTTAACCATTCTTTCAAGCTTTACAGGCCTTCTCTCTCTTTTTGGTTCAGTTATTTTTCGATATTTTAATTTCTTTAGAGGTCTAAATGAGGAGAGGATCTTCGTTGGATCATCTTTATGAGGATTCCGATGATCCTTCAATCACATCCGTTTATCATGCATCATGCAGTCAATTTTCTTTAGTTACTGTTTATATTCAATTTTAAATAAAAAAATTTACAATGATTTTTGATCTCACGATGTACGATGAACGAATGTGATTTGAAGATCCTAGGGACCCTCACAAAGAGGATCCGGCGAGGATACTCACAAAGAGGATTAGCAAGGATCCTCACTCCCAAATGAGCACTTGCTTTTGGCTCATTCCGACTTGCAAATCATTTATCGACAGGCTTATAGGCTCTGTTTGGTATATATGATGGGATGAGTTATTTCCAATTAAATTAGACTTGTAGCCTAGCTACTATTTGGTGAGAAAAATTGTAACACGGACTGGATTGGCAATAAGTCCAAAATAAGCGAAAATATGATGGGTTATGTAACTCATCCATGCCAATCCAATCCTATCTCCAAAACCAAATCTCATCCAGCCCACCAACAAGCCCATAATGTATATATAAACGCTCGAGCGATAATCAGTTACTGACTTAATATAATGCTAACCGATAACAATTCGTATGGACTCATCTTACAAAATTCCACATAATATTCACCTACTGTTTCTTAGTTCATCATTAAAATATTACTCATCCAACAATTCACCTAGATCAAAATCCGTTTAGTTATCTGACCTAAAAAATAAACAAACAATATTGTCGATAAACAGTAAAATGTGCATAATAATAATAATCAAAAGACCAAACGATTTTTGATTCAACTGACTTTTTACAAGAATAATCTATGAATAAAAACTTGATCAGTTCATATCTAAATTTATTTAGCATTTTGCCTAAATTTTTCCTTTTGTGTTTTCATCGGCTTCTTTGTGCTTGTCGTTAACAATAGAATAAAATAATAATTCATTTGTACAATGTAGACTAAGAAGTGTTATTTTGTAAACATACATTATACACTAGTAATGATATATGAAGGAATACTCCTAGAGCAACCAAAGTTTCAATTACGTACAATCATCATAGTCCTTGATATGAACCCTAAACCGAAATTTAACTTGCGGAAGAAGCAAAGCATTTCCAACATTAGGAGGCATTCGGCCTCACCACACCGGCGACAAATGCAATTAGAGAAGAAAACTAACCAGGTCTGGGCTCAACATGACTTCCAGGAACCTGAATTTTAAGAAAACATATATAAAAGCTGCGCTCAAGAAGCAGCGTTACTGGTTTTCAAATGAAAGAGTGGGTTGGGAATCATCTTGTTCATCTCCAGTATTAGTGACGGCAGCCTGGGCAGCTAATCTACTCTCGGCCTCCTCCCGAGCCACGGTAGATAAGGCGGCAGAAATAAGTCCTGATGAAGCTTGTGAAGTAATATTACTGATGAGAAGAGCAAGAGAACGATCATCCAAGCGTCCTGTCACTAGTTTTAACTGATTACGAATCGTTTCTATGCGTACATGCTCAAGCCTGTGTTCTGGTGTATGCTGTTGATTGAAGCGACCTGGAAGCTTGGACCTTGTATTATAACAATGGCTGCAAAGGTCGAATCCCATTTTCTCGGTACAGTCTATGCATTGGTATCTATCGCCAATGATTGGATACATCTGCAAACCAAAACCAAGATGTTGAGATTCTCAGATAACATCAAACTGATTAGCAATAGATGTCACTCAACGACCTTTAACCCTAACGTAGAGCACAAACATGACCTAAAATCAAAGGATGCAAACACAACAGGCAGTGAAGTGGTATCATCTACAATGAAGTCTGGCAAAGGCGTAGCAAATGTTTAAGCATCCTGAATCCAACAAACATGCACAATTTTCAAATACTTTCAGAAATATTGGACCTATACTTTGTGTATATACTAGGGCTTACCAAGAACAAAGTGGCATATATAGTTTCTGGTCCTGATCATTGGAGTATATACTGTCGCAATGTCAAAGTTAAAGTCTACAGTGGGAATATTTTGCCCACACATGTTTTAGGCTTTCGGCATGTATCAACATCTAGTCCAAAATACTAAATTATTGCTAAAATATTCACAGTTCATCTCCTCAAACCCTTGAAAGTTGTCGCCAAAGATAATTCTTTAGAGTAATGGTCATGCACGGATGCCATGTCACCAAAATCACAGCATCAATTTGCAGGTAAAGGAAAGGTGTCAGAAATTTACCCCACAAGAATCACAACCACATCCTGGGTGAATCTTTGAGTTAGGGTCAGACCACCATGATAACTTCTCTCCTTTGTTACCATCTTTTGTTGTACCTGCGAGTACACACGAACAATATCACTGCCAAAATATAAGATATGCAAGATTCACATCATAGCAGTAAATCAGCACGGCATGTAAGCTCAACCTTAGGCTAGACATCAGCAACATCATACAAGGTACAATTTGTGTGTAGAATGGATAAACATTCTATGGTTCATACTAGGGCAAAGGAGAGAAAAAGGCATTAGTTTCTGCGGTATTTGATAATTACAAGCCTTGATTAAGCAAGTTTGAAGCCCTTACTGTATCATTGCTTGTTGGTTCAAAGGAATTCTGACTCATCAGGCAAGAAGCTTTTCTAAATCATACTTAGTTGTTTTCAATTTAGCTTCAGTGAAATGATTGAGGATAACCATTCAAGAAACAAAGCAACCTACGTAAATTAGGAAATACTATTAAATTGGGTAGCAAATGAGTTTTGGAAAGGTTATTCATACGGCTATATATTTTTTGCATTTCTTGATGCAATTCCAACCCTAGGATGCCCAAGTAATAATGGGAAATCATATAATCTCTCCTTCATCTATTTTCTAACCATGCATAACCAATGAGTGAATCGATATCAACACACTTAACACCAAGATAGACCGAACATACAGGCAGCTGGGTTCTCATGCTTGAGATCTGCTTGTTTAAACTGCACAGCATCTCTTCTCAGGGCATATTCTTTAGGAAATTGCTCCTCCAGAAAGCGGCCAAGCTCCAAACAAACTTTTGGAAATCCTGACGGGTGACAACTTTGACAAACTTTACATGTAAGCATCTGTTCATCCGGATTGACAATACAACTTTCACAATATACTGTAATATGAAAAAAAAAATGAATATTAGAATAATAGCACACCAATATGGGACTGAAACCTGATAGCATATAGTTCAATAACTTGAGCATTCATACCGTGGCCACAGTTAAGAACCACAGGATGAAACAATAGTTGCTCGCATGCGGCACATAGCACATCAGCAACTGAAAATCGGATCCGACTCCCACAATCCATATTTAACAGGGAATTCTTTTCTTCGTCAGCAACATTCCCAATTCCCTCACAAACACCACAATGGGCTTCCTTAGGAACATCTGTACTATTCTCAATACGTGGGCTGGACTCAATTTTCTTCACATTTTCACAACATCTTCTGCAAGCAGAATTGGCCAGAACATTGGAGCATTGATTAGCTTCAGAGCTGCTTGAATGTGTATCAAACTGCGGTGAGAAGAAGCCAAGTTTCTTCTCTTCCTCTGCGACATGCACATGGCAACAATAAAAGCAATCAGAATGATACAAAAACTGACCAGAGCAAAATCAAATCTATATAATAACTTTCAACAACCAACTACAGAAGAAATCCCTCAAGCAGTGACATGATATTTATGAATGCTAAATGCTAACTAACAGGATAAGAGCAAGCTACGAACTGAGACATGTTTTTTATTTGCAAGCAATGCTTTTATACCGACCACAGACAGAAATACAATCACTAATCACAACAGATAGGTTTCGATATGAATAACTGTCATCACTAATGAAACTAACACAAACAACAAGATAATAATCAGTTTACTCAAAGATAAAAATACAAAAGCGAGCATATATACCGAGAATTTGCAATTCCCTTCTCCTATAGGCAACAGGATACTTCTTGAGCAGCAAAAAATGAAGCATTTGACAGATCGTCGGAAAGTGATTATACGGATGCCTACAAAGCGGACAATAAGATTGGCGCTCACTGCTCATTGATCTATGCACACACCAGAAACACGAAATGTGCCCACAAGCTGCAAGCCCCACAACAAAAACCGATAATTTCTAATTAACATTAATAAGACAATAATTACAACAAAATATCTAATCAAATAATCAAAACTATGTGGATGTAATTAAAGCCAAACAGACTTACAGAGCACTATAGGTTTGTGCAGAAGATCCCTGCCCCATTGGAAACAAAAACGCCCAGCATTAGCTAAGATTCTACAAGTTTCTCAATCGCAATTCGGGAGACGAATTGATTGGAAATCGGAGACAGTGGATTCGGGAAACTTACAGGCAAACGCAGCAGAGGAAGGAGTCGGAGATTTCCTCCTCCGGTTGAACGCCGCCGTCCGCGATTTCCATCATTCGGTGATCGGATTCGTCCATTGGAAGCAGTACAGAGATTTTGGGGATAGCTGAACCTAGAGTTATACAGAGAGAGTGATGAGGGTTTGCATACACAGAGATTTTTATGAGCTGCTTATTTCTGCTGAACGTCACATCGAAGACGCATATTCAAGCGATGGCTAATTGATTGCCCACGGAATGCCGGCTATACTTTTATATTTTCAATGGCGTTGGACAGGGGTTGGGATGTAAATTCCGTTTTCTAATTTAAACACGGGGTTGTGATGGTTGGATCTTGATCGTTGAATCCTTAACCAATAACCTAACGCCAACAAGTTTCAAGATATTTAATCCTCTGAACCATACTAAAAAAAAATCACAATCGATGACGAATGAAGCATTTTCGCTTACTATCTTATTTTTAAATGAGTTTGAATTTCAAGATTTGTGTAATTAATAGATTATATTAAATATTAATAGCTATTTGATAAGTATTTTTAAATGACTAAAAACGTTTTTATAAAAAATCTTTTTAGGTTCTGAAAGCAATTGAAATGCCTACTACAAAAAGCACTATTTATGTATTTCTTTAAAAAAAGTGTTTTTTAAAATTAACTTGCATTTTTGCTACTAATTGGTTTCATAAACATTTTTTCTAAAAACACTTTTAATCATTTGAAAAGACAACGAGCCCAAATTAACAGATAAGAGCTAAACCCATCGATAGTAAAAAACGTACTCCTACATTATTTGTCAAGGTTTAATTAGGATCATCTAATTACCATATAATATTATTACTTGGAAAACCCTGGTATATCTATTTACTACAAATACTACACTTCCAACACTGCACATTCAACTCTACATATCTGCGACTCTGAGTCAGTCTCCCCTCCAGATTTCTGCACAGAAGGCTCTCCGAGGATTTTAAGCTTCGATTCACTTCCATAACTTGACGGTGGTGTCGTGGCTTGCCGACGCAACCATTCCAGTGTCAGGTGACTGCGCCAGAGCCGAGATTATATTCTCGTGTGCTGCAATTGTCATGCTCTTGTTCTCAGCCATGTTCCACAGCTCCAAAGACTAGCTCACAAGCATGAAAGCGGATATTAGCATTAATCGTGGGTTACCATTGTCAATGCAGTTACTACGAATATCATCTTAAGCTACTTTTTTTCGTTTATGAATGAAGCTATTGCTAGAAGAGGTTAAAAATTTACCGAGATTCCTCCGATGACCAAGAGAGTTGAATAACTTGGGTGAAAAACACACGAATGAAACTGGTTGCCGTTAGAGCCGAGCTCCTGAATACAATCTCCCGAAACTAACGACCAAATCTTCACCAAGTTCTGACTGACAGAAGCCAGATAATCTCCATTTGCATTCCAACAAATGAAGTTTACAACGTCAGAGTGCCCCTGCGATTGAGGACGATGATTTAAACATATAACTAATTATACCTAATGACTTGTTCCTAAAGCAACAGATTAGCATTAATCAGGTCCTCAGTTATTCAATCCCATATTTATAGACATGGTACCTGGAACGAGTGCATTTGTCTGTCAGTTTCGACATCAAAGATGGAAACTAATTTATCTGAGGCTGCTGCCAGTAGTTGTCCAGTTTTTGGCTGAAACCTCACTTGTGCAGTACCTCCCTGCCCCAAATGATGAAGATAATTTTCAAGTGAGTATAGCTTTCGTACAAATCACAAAACGCTTAACTTGGAAGAAAATAACAGAAGATTACAAACCTTCGAACTACGAGTACAAGAGAATGGGTTGATATTCCAGTACCGAATTTCATTGTCATGATCACAGAAACAAAATAAATCAGTCTTCTTTGGGTGGAAGTCAAGGGACATAATAGGTGAGTTGTGCCCCGTATATGCTTGTAAACAATAGTTTGGCTGCCACAATAAGATTAATAAGTCAACAACACTAGTACAATGAAAGTGCACTCACAAACTATGTAGCCTGTAAAACAAGGTTTCTCACGACTAAAGTTACAAAAGAATAAAAAGAATCTTGAAATTATTAATGTATTGAGGTACCCTGTACACCCCTGTTGCATCAGCCCAGACCATACATAGAAGAGAGTAAAGACAATTACATTGGCTGCATCCCACAATCGTACAGATTTGTCAAAAGAAGCTGTTGCCAGTTGAGATGAATTTGGTCTAAACCGAACATCTGTGATAACTAACGTGTGTTCTTCGGGAGTACTCTCAGTCTGCAGAGTATCCATGTTCCAGAGGACAACCTGGTCCAAATGACAAATGTTAATTATTCTCATTCCTTCAAGTTCCAATCTCAATCGCACCTTTTCAGTACATGCATATAAATCATTAAAACACGTGCGAACAGCCATTTTGACCTTGATGGAAACTAGTAAGAACTGTCAAATCCAGTACATATATTTTTCATGTGAGCGAGCGTGTGTGGGCAAAAACACACGTGGAACAGACTTTTTGACCTTGATAGAAACTAGAAAGAATTGTCAAATCCAGTAGATATGTTTTTCATGTGAGCAAGCAGGTGCGCGCAAGCGCGTACACACATTCTGATAATGTGCCAAATATCATATATCATTTGCATGTCTTATTATACAATGTACATACCTTTTTGTCATGTCCTGCACTTGCCAGCAACTTCCCATCCGAAGAAAAGTGACAGCAAGTAACTTTGCTGTTTCTGGTCCGTATGCAGCCAACTTCACCAAAAGTAAAACCTGAATGGGATAATGCGGCCACAGCTTAGGTAGAGTGAAGAAACTTGACCAACTCCCTGAATACAATGTGTAAACCTCAAGTTACCTTTAGAGGAATCTTTATGGTGCTGTTTAAGACTCTGCTTTAATGTCCCATACAGATCCCTCCCGTCTCCCCCATCATTTGACAAAAACGATTCCACATTATCTTCTAGCGAACCAACGTCTCCAAATCGGTCAATGTCATCCTGCAGAGAAAATGATGCTATTAGAAGAAGAGTCGCTCTGGCTTTTCCACTTTCTCCGTTTCAGCATCCATGAGATATCAATATAATTTGATACTCAAAACACATTGATGACAAGTGATTCCTCAACAATAGAACCAAGCTTTTGGCAAAGTTTACTGACAACATTAAGCTTTTGGGGAAACCTTGATAAACTTATAATTAGATTGGCAGCTCAAGTACTCTTCACATCTAAATTTAAAGTCAGTATACCAGTAAATTGGAAGACGAAGGAAGTCCTGTTCCTTCTGGATACATCATCAAGCTTTTTGGCATGCTGTTAACATGCTGCATACTATTTGCTGTGTTAATTCCATCACCAGGCGTGTGAGTTGATGTTGGCGAACTAGGTGAAGGGCCAACAGTGTTTCCTGTGCCAGTGCTGTTGGCAGGTCCAGAGGAAGAGTGTTGTTTCCTTTTTCTGTTATTCTGCAGGAAAAACATCAACAAATGTTGATCAGCTTATCCAAAGCAGTAGTTCATCAGGCCCTAATTCAAAAGGCGTAAGATTGTAGAAGGAATCATATCATTGTTGTCCAAAATTTGGTTCTCTGAAGTATCTAATGTTTCATAATTAACTTGTAAATATGACCAAAAAAAAGTGCCCTTGCCCAAACTTGGATCCCTAACCAAGGACATACAGAAAGAGTACAAAGTTTAAGTTAGCACAACTATGCACAACTATGCACAACCTGTTGCAGTTGCTGCTGTGGCAATTGTTCATGTTGTTGAGAGGAAGGGTGCTGCATCTGAGCCATTTTTATCTGTTGAACACCAACAAAGCCTCAGAAAACGAAAATCAAAACCTTTCAAAAGATGTAAGTTTATGGAAACAAAAAATATCTATGGACAAACTCAGAAATCACATGAAACGATGACTGATCAAACCAGGGAAACTCATTAAAAGCCGAAAGGACAAATTAGCAGAAAATGGAGCAGGAGCATTAAAGATAATAGATTTACCAGCATCCTAAACTATAGAAACCCAGCATTCACAAATGGGTCATGTATACTCTTTGTCTTTCAGGGTTTAAAATGAAAGGGAAAAAACAAAAAGGAGTGATTATCATACAATTCCCTACTTTAAGCCCCTGAAGTTTGATTTGGGCAAGCATAACATGCATGTAGAATACTTAAGTTCTTAATCACTGTAGAACAAAAACGCCACATGCTAAAATTAGAAAGGTAAAGATTAGCATATTTATGAAAAACAGTGTAATAACAAATTTTCAACTCTTTCTGTCTAAGTGTGTGCCTACCATGAATCCTAATCCTCATCAGATACATGAGAAAGGTTACCTTTGGTGAACTTGATAAAACTGGAGAGGACATAGATCCATCATTTCTGGTAGATTGACCATCTTTTGCATTCAAGTTACCCCTAGGCAGTCCAGAAAATCTGCGAGGATCCATATCTCCGTAATTTGTGGAATTACGAAGGTTATTTTGTGCCTGAGCTTGTGCCAAAACTTGTTGTTGTTGAGATGCCAAAAGGAGCTGATTTTGGGTCTGAAGATTTGGCTTCTGCATTTGTACACCCAAATTTGGTCGTAATTGGTCGATTCCCTGTATTATGGAGTAGTTTTGCAACTAAGAGTTAAATCCACACTAGATAGAAAAAACAACCAAGAAGAGAAAGCCATATATTACTTACAGTTAGAGGCCAACCCTTCAAGGGAAGACCTGTAATACCTTGATTCAATCCTGAAGGAAGAAAGGAAGCATTCATATGTGAAATGTCTGAGCATATAGATCATATTTAACTGTAGGGCCGTATCTGACAATGATAAGGTTAAGTGTTGTCACCTGCACTGCTCAGTCCAGATTTTGACTGTAAAATTGCTTGTCCATAAATTGATGAAGGATCCATAGGCAAACTTTTCTGAGGTGTACCTAAGCCAACTTCGGTTTTGATGTCCTACAATCTCCACAAGTTGACATACTAATTGCTCAGTATGCTAGAAAAGAAGAGGCAAAGAAACTAATAAATTTGAACAAAGAAACGCATGAATAGTAAAAGTAATAGTCTGAGACTCTGAGTAGTTACAGTGGTTAAAGGAGTTCGGGCTTGAATTTGCTGAAAACCAGCAGGCATGTTCCCAGAATTGCCTTGTACCAACTGGCTGAATCAACGAGAACTAAACAGATGAATGACCCATTCTAGCCAGGAAATAAATGATAAAAAATAAAGCTCAAATACATGCAAAAACTAAGGAGAAGGTACCCTTGTGGATTTGCGGCTGATTTGAGCAGGGCCATTCTACTGGCATCAATGAGCGTTGGGGATGCCTCTGAATCCATCGGGTGAGGGTGTTTCATACGATCTTCATACATTTTCATGGCTAGCACACTGGCTGACGGTTGCCCCATGACTCCCTCAGAATTTATAGCATTTATAGCACCACCAAGGGCAGGATGATTAGGATCCCTGCGCTGTAACTGGGCACTGCGCTGCTGCAATAGCTGCAGCTGCTGCATTTGTAGCTGTTGTTGCTCCCTTGCCTTAACTTGCTGTGCCATCATTTCATGAAGGCATATTCAGAAAGAAATACATTTCTTCTTTTCCTGAAAAGATATTTCTAAAATGACGAAATCTAAATACGACGCAAAATAAAGGAACCTCAATGTAAGCTGCAGCAGCCTCCGAATGCTTCTCATTTGTCCTTGCAATGAATATGTCCCAAAAGACAGACCACCATTCAAAGAGGAATCCTCCTGGTGCATCAATTGCTGCATATTCAAATCTAAAACAGGTTTACTCTCCAGAAGTTCTCAACACATATACTGACACTATTCGCAACAAAATCTTAAAAAAAAAAATAAAAAAAAAAAGAACTTACATACTATCAAAATATGTCATCCCAGTGAACGATTTGGGCATAAACAATGATACAAAATGTTGTTGTGCAAATGCATACTAAGCAGAATCTTCTAAAACATAATCAGCAAGTGCATTGCGAATGAATTAAAAGTTGGCAACATTACCTACTGGATCCGTAGCAACCTTCCCTTCCGTCATAAACGCATTTGCAGAAGCAAGCAATTTTCTTTTCAACAAATAATCATGAATATAAACATCAAGCCTGAAGCATACAACAAAATCAACAATTGGGTAAATATCGAACCAATGATCAACATATGGCAGTAAAACGAAAGCAACAACACCCAACAAAAAGAAAATACCAATATAGAAAAAAAATTACATGCAGATTGAAAGCAAAAATGATGAATGCAAATACTTACATCTTATCGGCTTCCCAATTACTCTGCGCCATGTTTTACCTTTATTAAGTAGGTGCAAACAAAGAAATCACCAGCAAAATCACTGCTTTGTCTGCAATTATACATCACCCATAGCTTCAGATCCCCTCATAAAGTAAATTCAATTAAATTTAAATTTAAATGGGCAAAAAAAAAAAAAAAAAGGAATTCAACCGTTACTATGAGTATTTCACCATTAGCTCAATTATCATCTATATGAATTACATTGAACTTTTTTAAGTAACTAAAACAAAATCATATAATGCACAACTCCATGAATTTTCTCCCTCCATTGTCCTGGATTTCCCGAGCAACCAAACAGAGCAAAAACTCAAAAACTCAAAAACCAAAAAAAAAAAAAATCACAGAATTCCTACAGCGCCATTCAGCTAAAAACCATACCAGTGAACCAACCGATCAAATCCTACAGCACCATTCCGCGAGATCTCCACCTCATAAACCCTAACGCGAACTGAATCAACCAAAACTGAAAAACAAAACCACAAAAAAATTCAGCTGAGTTCAGTCTAAGACCATTTCAAAAAATCCTCCAAACAAATTGGAATTTCGCACAGCGTGAGTGATCTGAGACCTTACGCGCTCAATCGAGTTCAAACGGTGTGAAAAAATTTCCCGATAAAATAATGCACTCTTGTTCTCAGAGTGTAACAGTGAAAAAGAAAAGAGGAGAAGGAATCGCCGAACGAAGATATTAACAGAGGAAGGTTTTTAGGTTCGGAGCCGCATCTCAGGCTCGGTATAGAGTTTGCGTAAGTTTGTTGTGTGAGGGATGTGAGGTTCGGTATTTGGTTCGGACTTCGGTGTTAAAGTGATGTATGGTTTAGTGCGTTTCCACATCGGCCTTTTTGGGATTGGTCGATTGTGGGACCCACTCATTAATGAATAATACGCGTAACAATTTTTCCTTAAAAATATCCAAGTACAGATCATCTTCTTCGGTTTTTAAAAAACTAAGTTTAAAGATCAAATGATCTGAACGGTTGAAATTTGATTCAATGATTACAAATATGAGGTTTTTCTAAAACTTATAATAATTGTTCCTATTGAATCAAATTTTAGCGGTTCGGATTATTTGATCCTTAAGCTCAATCTTTTTAGATCCGGAAATGATTTGTACTCAAAAATATCCATTGATCCTTTGTGCCACACATCCATTCATCTTCTTTTTTTTTCTTTTTTTTTTTCATTCATCCTTTGTTTGATGATTGATCATATGGATCTCACCTTAATATCTAAGATTAAGAATATAAGCTCAATTAATTTGATCAACAATGTGATTAAGTGGTGATTGAATGTAACTTTGATGAACAATACTCTATAACAACATAGGTTTAGTGGAAGTGTTTGGTCGATGGTTAATGAATTATGGTTGGGCGACAAGTTTTATTAGGTTGTCTGGTTGCGGTTCGTTTTATTCAAAAGCTGAATGACTTTAGATATTTAAAAAGAAAAATCTTGTACACTATTTGACATTTAAATAGCGTGGCTTAATTTTATTATGTTGCGGTTTTTTGTTTTGAAATTAGGAACGAATCTATTGTAGTAATTTGTGATGTGAGTAGCGTGTGTAATTTGAGATATAAACAGACAGTTGTGCCCAACCATTATGGGGAACATTCTTTTTAAACGATTGCACATTGCATTAAAAAAAATTTAAGAAAGAGAGGACCAACTAGTATGGGTACCAAGAAAACTCGCAGAGACATTTCAGTCTCCTCTAATTACTATTGTGCGATTCTCCTTGATGCATTGCATTAATACCTTGATAAGAAACCGCCTACCACTACATAACAAAACATGACATAGTTTCAAATAAAAATAAAAAAAGTGAAATTTGTAAAAAAGAATTAAAATTTATAAAAAAAAAATAAAAAAAAAAGCATAAGCTAAAAACACCAATAGAAATTAGCTTATTGTTAACTTAGACCCCAAACCGTGGACTTTCGGATAAATTTTGGGCTTAAATTGAAGGTTTATTGCTAAATATTCAACAAATTAGCTGATGACTAGTTTTTCAACAAAAAGGAAAATGACAGTGTAAGGAGCTTGTAGCTTAGTTATGAGCAATCTTATTTGTTTGAGAAAAAACTTTTCAGTTTATTCCGAACACAAGTAGGTACACTATAGAGTCAGAGTGAAAGGACCTTGAATATATATTATCTCCACATGTACTAGGACACATAATATATTAACTTGTGTTTCGAGTACATAAAAAATTTGTCGCATATGAGGTTTCGGTCTTCTCTCTCCCGTTACCACTTCTATAAAACATGTAAAAGAAAGTGACAATACCTCACCTAAAAAATGGTTGAAGGCCATTAACATCAGCATTAATTATTAGGAAAACTAATGAAAATGACTTAAAAACTTTGAGTTTTAACGATAAGGACAAAATAAAGGGTAAAGTGAATAGTACCAGGATTTACTTTTTAGTGTAAAAATGTGGTTTTTCATTAAAGTGAACAGTACCAGAAAATTTTCGTTAAAATTCCCTTAATTATTTGAGTAAATGCTTTTTTTTTCCATTAATGAAGATGAAAAAAAAAGACATTCAAGAAAAATAAAAGGTAATTTATTTATTTAGAATGTTGATATTCTCCCCCTTTTCACCCACTCTAAATTAAATTTTCCATTACCCAATTTAACCTCCTTCAAAATACCTTTTAAAAACCTAAACAAACATAAAAAAAATAAAAATAAACAACAAATTTATGACAAAATAGAAAAAGAAAAAACTAATACGTAGACCGAATTTCGACTGCTACTCCCTCCAACAAGCCACCTTACCGGCGGCGACCCATTCTCTTTCACCACCGGCCAACCCTCCTCTACCCCCCTCTTTATTTTCTATCTTCTCAAACTAATGATCAAATATTAAGATTGTTGATGCACAAAATCAGTGAAAACTTTGGATCAACGTAAAGTGTCAAGTTTGTGACCTTCGCTTAGTTGCTCCGGTCACCTAGGGATGATGACGGGTAAAGAGGTACAGACACATGATGTACGTGGTTCGCCCTAAGTCTGGCTATGTCTATGGAGCAGATGAGTTCTCATTAATAGTGAAAGGTTTACACAAATACATGGATTTAAGCATATTATCATTGGGTTATAATGACTAGTTTAAGTACAATAATGACATTAGCCATTAATTGTAGGAGAATGGTCTCCTTTTATAGTTGAGGAGAGTCTTTAGCTTTTGTATGTGGTCGATGTGGGACTCGATGAGTTTTATTCTGATATTGACATGTATCGTGCTGTGATTGACCTCTTGGTTGGAGGGAAACTCTTATGCTTCGGCATGGGTGCCTCAACATGAACCCCTCAGTGAGTCCTTGAAGGTATGACGTTGATTAGTGTTTGGTAGTTTCGAGATTGGTCAAATATGGTACAAACAATGCTCCCCTAAGTTCCCGAGTGAGGAAAGCTTTTCGGTTGGGGACTTGACAAATCCAAGTTACTAAGTAACCACAAAACTTTTGAGTACCAAGGTGTAGTAGCATATATAGGAGTCCCCCAAATCTATGAACGAGGAGAATTGCCGAAAGAGGTGCCTTACTTATTGCCAATTTATCAAAATAGTGAAGCCTTGTTTTTATATCACACACATTCATATATGTCTTATCCGAAAAATATTTCAAACTAGTTAGAGCTTCACACAGGCCCAAAAATTTCTTTTATGCTAGAAGCCCAACGTTTTTCCTTTTATGTTAGAAGCCCAAAATTCTTGTGCAGCCTGAAGCTATTGCTTTGTTTTGTGGGCCCAAGAAAAGGGGAGGCCCAGTGTCATTTTTCTTCTTCGTTTTTTTTGTTTCTGTTTTTGTTTAGTTGCCAAGCCTTTGAGCCCAGCGAAGAGTGGCCCAGCCTTTCAGCCTTTGTTTGAAACGGCCCGAGGCCTGGCCTAAGACCGGCTCAATATTTCTCCCCGATTTTTTTTGAAATCCGAACCCTAAGGTACCGTTTGGTACGTGTGACGGGACGGAATGGGATGAGCCCTTCCGTTCCACGTTTGGTGCGCCTAAAAACTGTGGAACGGGTTGTCCCATAGGACGAAATTTGGCTGATTTTTCGTTCCACCTCTTCCCTCTGGAACGACCCGTTCCACATCTGTGGAACACAAATTTATAACATTTTATGACAAAATTTCTTCATATCTTTTTTAATATTTATATCATCTATTCCGTCTCATCCTGTCCCATTCCGTCCCGTCTGGGTACCAAACAGTACCTAATTGCACAGCAACCTGTCCCGTGCTCTCTTCCCAGCTTGTCCAACTTTTCAGCGCAGCTCCCCCTCTCCTCCTCCTAGCGTTCCTTCACTCTTCCTGATATATATATATATATATATATATATATATATTTTTTAATTTCCAAGACCTAGCTGCAAATAAGCTCCCTTCACATCTCTGAAGCTCCGTCTCAGTGCAATTTCGCTGAGGTTTGAGAAATTCGATGAGGGTGGGTCATGGTTTGCAGCTGTAGGTTGAAGGTGAAACAGCTGTAGGTGTGGGGGGATAAGTCGCGGGGTTGCAGAGGGAGTGGGGAAGTTCAAGGTTGCTGTGGCGTTGAAGGTTACGGAGGAGCAGTGGGTTTTGGATTGAAAGTTGCAGCTGGTGGATGAAGGTTTGAAGTATGTGGCGTTGAAAATTGCGTGGGGTTCGGTTTGTGGGTATAATAAGGTCTGGTTTGATTTGGTACTGAGATAATTTAAAAAAAAAAGATGGTATAAAAAATGGCTGGGAGCTTCTTTTTTGTGTTTGGTATGCATTCAGTTTCAATTTTTTTTTTACCATTTTGGATAAAAAAATGTCAAAAACAAGAAGTTGCAAAATCCAGCTTTAAAAAATTTGGTTTTTTTCACATATGTTTTACATAAAAATTTATCAAATATTATAATACTGTTTTTTTTTTCAAAAGCATTTTTATAAAAAAATTTATCGAACATTATACAGCTTTATTTCACAACCGTTTATCATCTCAGCGCAGTTTTTTTTTCAAAGCATAGCAATACCAAATCAGCTCTAAGAGCAACTCCAGCCATGCTCTTTGCTGGGGGGACGAGCTGCAGGAAAGGGCCCGAGGGCCGGTTGGTTCTTTTCCAGCCATGGAGAGCTCAAGTGAGGGTGAGAGCCCGAGTGAGAGGGGGGTGGGCAATTGATAGGCCTGTGGCCCGAGGCCCGTGACGTCAGGCCTGGGTCCGGGCTATTTTTTTTTATTTTTTTTGTGTCAGGCGCGTGCCCCTCACTCGCAAGTGGGGGCGCGTCGCCCGACAGGATTTCAGGCAAGTGGCCCGCGCGCCAGTTACCGTTGGGAAGCCATGTGGCTTCCCACGGTCCGTTCGATCCCAACGGCTCTTTAATACGAGCAGTCCGATTTGCAACGGTAATAAAAAAAAACTGATTTTATATCAACCGTTCGATCTAAGATCAACGGTTGATATTAATCTGCTTTATAAATTAAAAAAAAAAGAGAAAATAGTTTTAAAATTAAGAAAAGTTACCGTTATGACACATGGCACAATCTGGAGTGTTGGAATTCAAATTTTTTAAAATCCAACAGCAGAGATTAATTATTTGAATAAAAATTTTAAAAAAAAATTGTAAAAAATCTGAAAAAAATTGTCAAAAAATCTGAAAAAAAATTTGTAAAAAAATTGTTTTTACTTTTCTATAAATACCACTTCTTCTCCATCTACCTT